ATAGAGTACTTGCTTCCATTTGAGAGGCAGTTATCACATAACTTTGGGAAAGGAACATGGAGAAGCAAATTCTCCAACCTCCTTCCTGAACTGCAGCAGGCCAAGGAATTGGCATAACCATTACATGAAAGTCTAGAAAAATATCTCTGTTCAGCAGCCATGTAAGAGTGTTCCACCTGCAGAAAAGCAAATGTACAGCACAGTGTAAGAGTGCATGATTCCTTCAAAGTAATCAAGTCCAATTTATCTGATTTTACCTTGGTAATTTTGTCCCAGGACTGAAGTTTCTCTCCTCCTCACTCCTCATTCAGGTTAAAAGAATGGATAGAGTCAATATACCCAACCCCTGAGAATCTCATATAAATATATGTAAATACATACATACACACACAAATGACAAAACGAGAAAATTTTTATCAAGTCTATGTGTGGTTATGCCTACAGACATCACCTCCTCAGTACAGAAAATGCTTTCAGACTATTACAATAGTCTGAATTACAGTTCTCAATAATGAAAACCAAGTGGTGTTATATAGAAGGAAATACCATTGCATTATCATCACTTAAGAAGACTTTATCTTTTTCAAATGATTAACAGAAAAGTGACAGTTGCATTTAATTTTCTATCTTGATGGGGACCATTGGGGGCAGAGGTAGAAGCACTGTGAGGGGCAGAAACAGAAGGCACCGTATTCAGTAGGTATTTCAAAGTAATTAAATTGCTTCAAGGATAAACTGAAACTTTCTTTGACTACGTAAGAGTTTTTAGATATATAAGAAATTGCCTGCTTATTCTATAACAATTTATGTTGCAGGCATGTGCAACAGCACCCGCAACTGTCAGCATAGCTGCATAAATTAGAGCAAAACAACATCTTTGCAGAACAAAAAAGCATGTAACAGAACAGCATAAAAAGAAAGCTTTCCTGAGCTAAATTAGTGATCACTTTATAAAGTGTCAATGGAGAAAGGATAGCACCATTTTACATACAAAAATATCAATTATTTGAATTACTCAAGTTGGGCCAAGACGACTCTCCAGTTAATCACAATGCATGATACATATTGTAACTGTAGCTACTTCAAACTTGCTTCTCTTCTAGGGAAAATACTTGTTTGTGGCTTACTGAAAGGGTAATCAGAAACACACACTGATAGTCTAAGCACCTTTAAAAATATATACCCTTCTTAAACTAAGTAGGCCTTGTGGTTTCCATCTCCCTTTTAAAAAAAAAAAAGAAAAAATCTACTTCACCAAAGTACCATTCATATTACTGCCACTCTATGCACAACTTTTTAATGCTAGTCCTAGTGGTTTTAAGAGAATGTCTTTTCAATGTGCAGTGTCATATATTAAAGGTTTCATAAATATAAGCAGTAGGGCAGATGGCACATTTCTTGGCTATGTGATACTTTGATACTATGATAGCAGTCATGTCAGAAGAAATTAATACACTCTAAGCTGCAAATTCATTCCTCTTTTCAAGCTCATCCAGAAGTAAGATTGTTTAATTCTAGTTAAAGTCCATAGTACTAACAAACAGACAAATCAGAAACTTTTAAATTAATGTTGAATAACTTGTATTAATTATTTAATCATTTCTTAAATAGGTTACTGTTACAACTCCAAATTCTCCAACAGCAGAAATTCTAGAGGTTGTATTCTGTAAGAAAGAATTTACTGAACAGTATCAGTTGTGTCAAAGGAGGAAGGAAACAGGAATAGAAGACAGCGAGAGATCTCCCCATACACGTGACATAGTCATCAAAAGATGTGTTTATAGTGCCACAATATTTATGTTAGAAAAGGAACTTACAATCCTGTCCTTCCAAAGAAACAAGTATGAAAAAGCAGAAGCCTTTTAAGTACTACCATTGCCTAATCTGGCAGTGGGCACCTACTTGTTGGGGAAACAGGGTGTACCCGCTGACTACTTCAGTAAATACTTTTCAAAAGAGAATGATACATACTAGCCAGGAATCTATATACTACTATTTAAGAGTCAATATAACAAAGCAGAACAAAGAAAAGTAACATTTCTGGTGGCCAAAGGCCTTTCTTCCAAGTACGTTGCTTAAGGATGAACACTAACAGAAGGGGAAAAAAGCAGTGC